ATAATAATAATAATAATAATAATAATAATAATAATAATAATAATAATAATAATAATAATATTGATAGCAATACTCATAATGATAACGGTAACAAATGACGATAACGACAATAACAAACATGATAATGATGCTGATAAAAAATAACGACATTAACATAACCATTAATAACAAAAGCAATAGTAATAATTATAATAATAGTTAACTAATGAGAATATATGCAGTTAATCGTTGTTGCTAACCTTAAATATTGCAGTTTCAAAACCTCAAAAAAGATAATAATAATAATACTTACATGTGCAGCTTCTCGATTAATCCACTCAGGTCTGATGATGCTATCTTCTTCCGAATACAACACTTCAATTTCTGGAAGACCTTCGCCGAACTTTTCTCGCCCTTCTTTCAGAGAACTCATTCGATCAAATATTGTAAATGCGTACAAATAGGTGCTCATTGGCGGTGTTCGTTCGAAACACGATTCAGTTTTTCCATTTATATTCGAAATTTTACTCAGCTGTTCATTTGACCTAACAGATTAACAAAATTAATCATAAATTAATTTCTGGATTTTTGGTGTTCAAATTCATATCGCTGACCACTTCATGGCCCAATGATACTGGCCAGCAGCAAAGAATTACGATAAGCCAGTTATTTCGACAATATCAGATGGAAAACAAAGGGACCTTCCAGTCTGTTTGGCAAATATTAAACCTTACAAATCTCATAATCCCTCTCTTACTTAACTCTTCGGGGAACAGGGAGACACTCATCAGCGGTTCAAGTGAGTCAATGATTCCTTCTCTCATCGTGTGAGGAAGCAAGCTGAAAGAGGCCTGAGCCGATAAATACGTTGGTGAATGAGGAAACCCCAGGGGTGATGACAAATAGCTTCGAATACCGAAAAAAGGCGAAATCGTACCATAATACCAATCACTGATCCATATTATCGTTACTAGACAGTCTTCTGAAGGGTTTCAAAAGCAAAAAGGGAGGAACTCCCTAAAATTGTCTGGAGAGGATGAAAAACATACAAAAATTAGGTAAAATGACTCGAAATCATATCGCATGAGTACAAATTTTGACCACTGATGTGATGGTAAAAATTCTGTTGGTACAGCTTTAGAGCTGATAAGCCCTTTAGAAGATGATTTGATCGGTCAAAATCTCCAGCTCGTTGACCATCAAACGATGCAGCGCTGGCCAAATCAGTTGGAAAAGTTGCAAGCTGCACAGTTGGAGAATCAAACTATGAAATGCAGCTGGTCAAAATATCTAGGTACACTGCTGCAGAATCAGCTGTGGGCTATAAAATGCGATGGAAAACTTCAAATGAATTTGTCTAAATAAAGCTGATTTTAAGAAGCTGAGGTAGTAATAATTAATAAATGCCCTTCAGTGATAAGCCGTATAATTTTTTTTCAAATGACTGAAACTCCCGTTATTTAAAGGATATCAAGCTGAGGCCCGTACGAACGCAGTGGTACCGCTGCCGAGACAATTGCAACAACAATATTCAGGTCATACATTAACCAAGTAGTATCGATGTGTGAATGTTATTCATAGATCCTAACGTGTACCTATGTGGCAGGAGTAACAGATATCAGAGGTAAAAATCAGAACACAACTGTTTTAACTGCCCACCATCGAGTGGTACTCATAAAATCCTAGCTAAGCAATAGGTATTAATTGTGACAATATACGCTTGCCTGTATGGGAGGTATAAAGGCATTTTCAGTATTTTCATTAATTATCAAAATTCGACTGTGTTCCTTTTTTCCACGGTGGGCCAGCAATGCCAAACAAACTGCATATTTTAACGAATAGACGATTTCAGGCCCGCATCCTCTTCCAGTCTCCCAGTCAGGGACATTCACTGTTTATATTTATAAAATTTCTACAACACTTAAAAAAGGAAGATTTAAGCACAACTGCGTTCTAATAATGCCACTGGATTTTCACAACAACTATCTAGGTGATTTCGAAATTTTTCAGCTCCTACTTACCTTGCTTCGGTCCCGGTTGGATGTGTTATGCAAAGTTCCATGGTTGCTTTCATGACCGGCAAATCAAAGCATGGGAATACAGAACGTGCATTGCGAAGTTGAAAAAAAGTCGTCACAGTCCATGGCCTGAAAATATCATTTTAATGTTTCGTGGAATATTATATCCTAAGAACTGATAATCTCTTTAGACTAACTACGAGTTAAAAGAAATCATATTTTACTTATGGTAAATGTTAAAGCACCTCATTCAACACATCATGAGCCAAATACATAGCATTTTGTGCGTAACAATCATCGTATAGCACAACAAAATCTTGAAAAATTCTTGAAATTTTACCGTTTCGGTTCCCATTTTTGCGGACTTTTAACAATTAGACCAGCATCGGCTCGCGAACTAGAAAAATTACTGATACGAAGAACAACAATTTGTCCAGTACCAATTGGCTCAAAAAACTCCATTGATAGCACTTCATCGCGCTGATGATAAACCAACGAAGAGACGCAGTATACCTCGCCTAAATTTGGAAATCTTTAAATTTTAGGATCAAAATGAATTAACTCTTAATCAAAATTTTTGTAAAAACCACTCGCTAGCGTTGAGTTAGCGGGTTTTTATTACTCAGTGCTCAAGCTCGCAAGACGAAGAATTGTCAGAATTTGTTCTCATCCTCGGCAGTGCGTAATTCATATCTAATTTTTATTAAAGTAACAAGTAATTAATAATCAGATTTTCTTCAAATTTTTTCCATAAGTTCCCATATTCAGTTGAGATTTTCTTCTGTAGATTTCCAAAGTCTCTTTCTTTTTCAAATAAGCTGTTTAACTCATTACCCATTCTTCTCCTCGTTGTGCCTTCTCTTTCCCTCACTGTTTTTAACTCTTCTCCAAAGAATTTCTAAGTTATACGGTTCACTGTATGAAAAAAAAATGATCAAAGATGTGCCGATCGCTTATTACGTCAGTTTCGATTTCATCACAAATACCGGTGTATCCCAGTCGAAAGAAAGAGAAAAGCGCTTTGCTCATTAGATTCAGCGTAACATGCCTGTATAACAATTATAGATGGATATCTGTGGCAGTATAATTTCGGAAATTGGACGACCAACATGCAAAGATAGCGATGAGGATGTTTCAGTAGCTTCAACCTGAACAAAAAAAGCTTCCAAAAAAAAGAAAGATTTGAAAACAGAAATCTCTGAAAAAACTTCGTCGGAAATATTGAAAAAAAAGCTCATTTGTTTTTTTTTTGCTTTAAGAAAAACTGCGCTTCCAATTTTTGATTTTGCCCAGATTTTAAGTTAGTTTCGGCTTGCCTGAATTTTTTTGTGCCAAAGTTCTTAATTTTGTAGAATAACAACAAGCAGAACATACATAGATCTCGATACTACCGAAATACGATGTTTGTGCATCCCGCGTAATAGTAATATTTAATTGATAATGCTTCGGGCGCCATCCCATAAAATGTCCCAACTCAGCTACTGCATCTTCTGTTGGTATGCTTCTTTCTCTGCAGAAAAAAAAAACACAGATAGATCGGTTCATGCACGAGAAGGGAAAATTCTATGGCTCAAATCTTGTTGGCAAAAGCTTCTTAGATCCCCACGGTTTGCTTCGTTGACAGTCCAGAGAAATCAGTATCAGCTTGTTAGCAAAACAAATTATTAATTCGCAAATGAGTTAGTTTTTCCGAACTGCTGTAGAAGTTTTTCAGGATTATGCTACGAATCACTAAATCAGTCTGCCGGCTCTTGCAGCTCAAAATTTCATCAAAAATCGCCGGGTCTGCTTGCCCTCTCATATTTTTGAACTTTATTTCCGAACTTATCACTAACCGACTTGTAAGATTTAACGAAAAAAAACAGTACTTAAAAATTTCAAAGATATTTTGAAGCAGTAAACAAAATGCAGGAAGGATGTCAAATGCATGGTTTTTATTAATTCATCAAACTGGCACGAGAAGTTTCTTAGCATCTGTTTGCATCATTTTGCTGCCTGACGGATGGCAGTCCAATTTGTCCGGATTTTCACAATTTTACAGTGATCTAGGTGATGTTTCAATTCGTGACGTACGGCCGGCCTATTGTTCTTTAATGATGATTGATTTCTTTTTTAACGTAGCAAATTAAAACAATGTGCAGATTTTAATCCGTGAAGAAGTCCTCTAGGATCTTAATTCAACAGACCCAGAAAAGAAATTTTAAAAATCAATCAGATCTGCAAAAGCAAGATTTTCTTATCGGTTCAGATATGCAAAATGCTCAGATTTATTGCCACGAATGAAAAATGTCATTTGGATCCTTGAGGGCACTCATTCTCCTGGTCAGTAAGAATTTCATCGTGGTTTAGGCGTAAAATCATTCATGCGAGGTGGTGATGCTCAACAAAAACACAACCTACATCTCGAAATGGCTAAATATATGCCGAATGCTTTTCTCAGAAAAACCACTGAAATGTAAAACCAAACATGTTGAGGGAATGGACATCAGGAGGTCACGAGAACTGACAAACAGGGCGTTACAGCAATGGCCAAAATAACTGAAAAAATTGGCCAACGCACGGGCTGCCCGTGCGAAGATGCGTTTTTTGCATGGTTCCCCGTAGT